CAACAAATTGAGACAAAGCATGTAAGTCTGTAGCTCATCACTCAGGGGATAGGCAAGCTTTGTCACTCGAGATGGGTTACAGAATTTAATCTTGTTCTTCATTGATTAAAATATAAATCATTGACGTGTTACTAACCTGAGGAACAGGCTATTAGGAAATGCATCTTTCATTAAGTACACATGCAAAAGAATGCTAAAAATGATTAACATGACTAATGAATGACTGACAAACCTTACAGCCTCTTCAATTTAACTGTACTATAGTGCCTGGAGTTCACACAAAGTATAGTAAAATCTGGTTCACAAATTGTAAATGATCAAGGCAGTGAGGCAATTTCTCTTCAGTTGCCTTCCCTGAAGCAACACAAAATTTCCGGAAATAAGGGAAATAAATTTATAATATAATCCAATACTCCATTCAAGCTGCAGTCTTTAATTTCCCCACACGCAAGTCTTTGAGGTAAAAAAAAATGGTGTTTCTGAACGGATTTGATAACATTGTGCCTTAAACCTCTACAAAATATTATAACTTTCATCCAGTATGTGGTTTTGCACAATTTTTTTTAATCTACAAGATAAAATGCCCTTCATATTACTTTAAGATGGTGAGGGGAGGTTCCAAGTTCAATAGAAATCATTAAACAAGAGTATTGTTGATGTTTTCCACTACAATCCCTATTCTATACCTTAAGACAGATCTATGTTGAGATTGTCGTCATAAAATGTTGGGTAAATACATGCATAGCCAAATAAACCTTTGAAGTAAATGCTTAGAACAGATTTCTCCAGAAATCAAATTCACAAAATTTTGAAACCAAATTGATATGGGTATATTTTTTCACAGAAGAATAAAGGCAAACTGATTAATTTATATATTAAGATAAGTTGTAATTTTCTGTCTATGTTCTATTTATTAAAATGCTGTAACATCTTACGATACGCAGTTTCCATCTCCGGTTAAGGGGAGCGTATGGTATCAGGACACAAGATATGATATGGCTGTTCATTCTGATCTTTATTTATTTTCATCATCATGGTTTCTACTTAGGTCACCTTTAGTGTCTGTTCTGATTTATCCCCCAATTTCATCCTTGTAAATTTTCCAGGATAAGGAGATCGGAACAAAAAGGCCATCACAACTGGGCGGGTTATTTTATTTATTTTTTTTTTTTTTTACAGAGGAACAGAAACTTTAAAAAGAAAACAGAGCAGCAAGAGATTTGGATTGAGGAATATTAAGTTTTATTGAAATTATTCCGGTTACACTTCTAAAACAATAGTTTAGAAAGTCGGGAGATAATCCAATGTCAGAAATGAAATATTAATGCTAGTATATCTGAAATGATTGATTTCAAGATCCTCACCTCATCTACAAACCAATTAATGACACCGCGCCTGCCTACATCTTTGACCTAGTCATAGCTCACTCCACTGCCCTCACCCTCACTCAGCGCAAAGCCTTTCTGAGGATTCCCCTCATCCCATCCCTCCACGATCAGTGACCATGCCTCTTACCTCTGTATCTCCCTGCTTCGATTCCTCTGGCTCACCCCCTTTTAGCTATCTTTAAATCCCAGCTAAAGACTTATCTCTTCCACTGTGTCTATAGTGACCGCCCCCTTTTTACCCTCGCTCGGTGTTCGAGGGAGAAACATCGAGATGCTATCCTGCATGAAACCAAATAGACTTTTCGAATAGTGCTGTGGGAATCTTTAGCGTCCACCTGAACAGGCAGACAGGACTTCGGTTTAATGTCTCATCCACAAGACAGATGGAATTGAATAATAGGTTGAAGAAATAAAACTAGCGGAAAGGACCAAAAGTAGTTTAAGTAGCGGAGAATATTACGCTAAAATTATTGCTTTAGAAGAAGTGTTTTATCATGTAGATCGATGTAACCAATTGACTTTTGAAAGCATTGAATATTTCAGACTTTTAGAATAATCAACTTATAAATTACTGGTAACTGAAGTTAGTACAACATTGGGTAACTATCATCTGCCACAATTTCATAAACAACAGTATTTATTCAATAAGCAACAAGAAATATTGATAAACATTTCCTTCACTAAAAGAAGCCTTGGGTCTAACTGAATTTTCCATTGACAATTTTCCCTCCTCATGCTAACTGATTACGTACAGTACCACTTATTATGTTGCAAGTTGCAATCTGAAGCAGAAGGCAGACGAGATCATGAACTTCTCTGTAACAGCAGTCAATACCGTTCTACATTTCGCCGGGAGGCTGCATGATGAGCAAACCACCTCCCTGAGGGATAGAATGCTATTCCATCATATAATACACTAACTAGCGTAAGACCTTGGCTGACAATTGGCATCTCTCACTTACTGAAGTAAATATAGCCAAAGGACAAAAAAGCTCTGGGACTAAATCCCATTACCTTCTGGATGGGACACAAGCGTGCGATTGACTTACGGTTCCAAGCCGCCTCAATTCTGAATGTTTTAAAAGCAATGGATTGTGCAAAAATGTGTAGGTTTAACTTCAATGGATTCGCATAAATGTAAGCGGCTGATCTTCTTACAGCTTCCGACCGCTTGATGCACCTTCATTTCTTTTTCATGAGCAACTTACAGTAAGGTTTTGGAGGCACTAGTATTGGTCGGCATGAAACATAAAGGCATTTTTTTCAAGTTCGGATTCAGAGCAAGGAACAAAACACCCAATCGATAATCAAGCCTTTTCTTTGCCTTTGTACGCTTTACAGCTTGAACAAAGTTATTACAACATTACTGCGTGAAACATCACACAACACAAAACACAGCTTCACTGTGCTGCGTGGGAAGTTTGTACTTAAGATCATCTTACCAATGGAACACCAGGGGTCAAAATTCAAGTGGCCAAACAGTAATAAATAGCAATCTTTGGATTTTATATGGTGACTTTGACATCAAGAGGATGTCTCAAAATGCTTCACAGACTTACTGTAAAGTGTAGTGACTGGTTCCTTATAATAGTTTTGGAACACCTAACAACAACTTGCATTTATGTAGCACCCTCCAGCAGGGCAGTATCCCAGAGCACTTTAGACATATACAATAATTAGAAAGCGGACACGCACTTTGCTAAAACACAATAGCGCTTTAAATCGCACCTCTAATACAGCAACAAACAAACACACCAGAGATTTTTTTTCCCCCATTGAGAGAGGAAAGGACAGACTTGGAAAAACTGCCAGCAAGCAGTAAAGCAATTAGTAATGGAAACAGCACTCATACATCCGGTTTTAAAATGGCTTTCACTGGAAGTAAAGAATTCTATTTATGTGCAACTGGAACACTTCCACAGCTCTGTTAAACTGACACCAAGCACACTTCTTTTATATATATATATGAATGTGAATTGCTATTTGTGCAACACTGGAATATGCTTAATCAAACACAGACAGCAAACAATACGCAAACATTTGGCAAATTGAAACAGTTGATGCAATGAAAAACAAACATTTGATTAAATAGGTTTGAAACTTTTTTTAGAAAAAACATTCCTACATGCACTGAATAACACTGAATAAAAGTGTTTTGGTTCATTTCACCTGAAAATATATAGATTATTTGACTTGTGTTGGACATTTCCCTAATGCAGGAAACGTTTGCAATGTAAAACATCCCTTTCCTTAAAAATAAACAATGTACCTGATTGTGAGTCTAGTGAAACAATGCATAACATATGCATTATGTATTTTTTATATCTGCCTTCTGGCATTCTCTCCTAATTTATGCACCCTCTCACTTTCCACTTTAATTATGCATTGGGTACATTTAATTTGAAATCTGGATCCAGTCTTTTTACAGAATTGTCTTTACATCCGTCTTTGCAGTGAATATGGAATGGTAATTATCTTAGGCAATTACATTGGATTTTTAAAAATAAGTGCCCATTTGCATTCAAGATCTCTTCCCAAAGTCACTGAAACTGCCCAACCATATTAGTGCTAAACCTGTTCAAATCATCATCACCTATCCTTGAGGCAGTCCTGCAATTTAAGAGGTGACTGTGTTACATATTATCACAATTGTTTAGATGTAAAACTATAGGCTCTTTGTCAAAAAATACATTCACAGGTTGAGAATTTTCAGTCAACTTTTTAGGCACTGCTATCCTCAACTTATTATTTGTTGATTTGATTTACCGCTTGTAGCCACACTTGTTCATTCGCCTTCATTAGGAGTAAAAACAGAAGTCGCTGGGAACACTCAGCAGGTCAGGCAGCATCTCATAATCACTTTCCTCTCTCCATAGGTGTTGGCTGACCTGCTGAGTGCTCCCAGCGAGTTCTGTTTTTATTTCAGATTGCCAGCATCTGCAGGATATTGCCCTTTGCCTTCATCAGGTGCTAGTATTTCGTAAAAGAAAAGTAAGTGGCTGCTATCCTGTATCAACCAAATCAACCATGATTTCAGGCCCCAGGGCTGAAGGGCAGGTGTCCTAACCCAATACACATTCCAATCCCAATTAGTTTTCTAATGTTAACAGCTAGAAAGGTAAACACAGCACTATTTACGTCATTGTTTTTTTTATATATAAACCCAGTGTTCATAAAATACCGTGAAACAAACTCCATTATCACCACTCCAGAATAGATTTCAGAAATCATTCACTCAATAGACAATAAATCCCACCCACATGGAACAGTCATGAATATAACATTAATCGTTTTGTAAAATTGTCTCAAAAGTAACAGAAAGGAAGTGAAAACATTGAGCTGTAAATAATCTATATTCAGCAATACTTACCACAAGCCCCAATATAGTCACACTTCAAACAACACACACAAAAACAATTCATTTTCACACAGAAGAAAAACAACAACTTTCATATGGGATGGAAGATGAATGCATTGACACAAAATGATATCAACAGGCAATGGGAAGGGAAAGATTCCTATCATTGTGATGAAATGCAGTTTACAATAGTAATTTCAACCTTTAGAGCTTACTTGACACACAATGCAATACAATACAATGCAAGCTCTTACCTCTTAAGGCCGGTAACAGAGATCTGTCTTTCTTGTCATCACATTTATTGCATTCACTAAAATACAACAGCAGGAAGACGTCTAGAAGCACCCAGACCAATGATGTGGCCAAGACAATCTTGCAATACGCCAGTCTCCTCATGACTTTCTTTTTGTCTTATAAACCCACGGAGGCAGCCAAGAGACGCAGATGAAGGGATCAGCGAGCAAAAGGTGTGTGGAAATCCAGTTTGAAGAGTAAATGAATTAAACCATGCTGAAAACACAACAAAATACAAACAATTATTTCCGTCATTCTCCTCATCTCTATTACAAAATCGTTGAGATGTCTGAAAGCTCTTCACAGAATATACTGTAATACGCTTCAGACATCCACATACTTCTGAAATTAGGGGTTCAGCTTTTAACAGCCTCTATCCAATACTATGTAAAGTGTGAAATGTAAATGAGGCTTTCAACTAAACATCACACTTCTACTGGAAGAGTTGGTACTTTATACAGCGCTCTTCACATAAGAGAACTTATCAGAGTGCATCACCGAGCCAGAGATACATACACATATACATAGACACATTCGATATAGATATATATATATGATATATATATACACAATATATCCCATAAGAGGTAAAAGTCTCCTCGTTAATGCAGTTAAATTGCTCCTGTGGTTAAATATACCTACCAGTCTAGGTGGAATCTAGTAAAACTACAGAAAGCGTTTTGACAGAAATGGAACAGTCCCCGTCAATATTTTAATCCCAGAGCGCCATCAGCAAAGCAACTCTAACTGACAGCATAAATTCCACCAGTTAATGAGGCAGAGTTCAAACAGCAAAGAAGATGGTATCAAGGGAGACCATTAGATATTCTCCAGAAAAATCTCCTTCAGTTGATAATTTATTCCTATAATTGTGAGAAAAATAGTTAATGGCTGGACTCCGCAACAAGGACCAGCTTCTATTTCAGTAGCTGAACCACCACTTTGATCAGTAAAGGGATCAGTAAAGAGATGCAGTAAAGGTACTTCATCTCTAATTGCCAATAGTTCTCGACCAGAAATGAATGAAACCCAAGTGCAAAGGCAGAGACTGTATAGAATGGTGAATAAAATTCTCCCATTTTCAAACCACTGCCCAAAGGGGAAGGATTTGTGGATTTGTTCAACACCTTCATCCGTATACTATTTCTGTAAAGAAAATATCTCAGGATAGAAAATCTAGTTTGGGACTCAGCGTCTCAAGCGTCTGCCAGGATGGTGGAAAGCAAACTGGATGGACCTTGGTCTTCTTTCGCCCAGCAATTCTTATGACTAAAGATTATATTCATAAGGAAAAAGCTTGAGAGCAAAGATGCCCCGAATACAGTAGCTTTGGGGTATGAGGAAGGTTGGTGGAACACACACACACATACACGGGAGCCTCGAGCCAGTCTCTGGTGGTGTGCACCACAACTGAAAATGCTCATTTAGTGCATCTTGACATTTCTCCTAAGAAAGACCTTAAACTGATCTTCAGCTGAAAGTCTGTATCCTTAAGATCAAGAACTTTGGGGGGCAAGTTGAGTTTGTCATCGTACTTTTCACACCATTTAGAATAGGGTGGCCAAACAAGATTGGACACCACCCAGACTAGACCCTCCGTTGAGCTCTAAGCAAATGCTAAGAATATTCAAAAATCTTCTGTAAATTTCACATCAATTGATGAATATAATGGATAATTGGTGATCACAATTGGGGTCCACACTGAACTTTTAATTTAGATTTTTAATGCTCAGCTCTCCCTCATTCCAAAATAGATCCTTTCTTCAGCGTGTATTTGAAGCAAATGTAAACTACTTCATTAACTCTCCTCCCTAATTCAATCATACCCCCTTGGAATGCGGGCAACAGACAGAAGAAATCCAGCTTAAGTGAGTTGATTGAGGACAGCAGTATTCAATTGTGGAAACTCTTGATACCATAATTGTGTGACATTATAATGGGATGATTAAGCTCAAGGCCTGTGGGGCTGCTAAACCTCGAAATAGGTTCATAAATGACTCAACAACAATGACACACTTTTCATTCTAATTTCTGGGAACCTTGTGAGAGGAAACACACTTTTATCTTGTCCTAATAACTGCTCCCTTCCAATATCCCGCAGTTCTGACCAAATGTCATTGACCTGAAACGTTAACTCACTTTCCTCTCTCGATAGATGCTGCCTGATCTGCTGAGTATTCCCAGCAACCTCTGTTTGTATTATACTTTTATCTTTATTGCAATTATTCTTATCTTACAATCATTGCTTCCTGGGGTTAGCCCACAACTAAAATATAGGTGTTTGCCAACAAAAACACAGTCACTGCACTTCACAGTAAATCCCGTGAAGACGTTCTCCTGACGTGTGTGAAAGGGGTTATACAACAACACCACCACGTACAAAAAATCCTTCTGCAAGGATTGGCGGGGGGATATTGAAATGATATCACAACATTTAAACTGATACTTGGGAAGGGGAAGCTTCAGTCACGTCAACCAGTAATGCTTCATAACATCAATCAATCATAACTCAGAAGGTTTTCACATATTCAACTTTAACATCTTTTCATTTAAGGACATGAGAATTGTTAAGACGAAAGAAGACCAAGGTCGATCCAATTTGCCTTCCGCCAACCTGGCACTTGTCATGTCCCAAACTATATACTGTATCTATCCCGAGATACTATTTCCTAAAATAAATCTAATTTGCTTTTGAAAGAATCGACACTTTCTGCTTCCACCATCTCCCTAGGGAGCCTGTTCCATACACTCACTACTTACTCACTGAAATAGTGTTCCCGTAGATTTTTTTTGAATGTACCCCCAATCAATCCTCTGGTTCTACTGTTTTATATGAAGCTACTCCAATTGAGTTTCTTCAAAGGGCTTCTCTAACAACTCTGATCAAATGTAGTAACACGTGAAACAAATGTTCACACGGAATAATTTTAAAACATAATTTTTTTTTAAAAAAGCCACACGTGAAAGCCAGAATTCCCTAAAGAGAGAGGCAATATTATCCCAAGAATTCAGGGCTGGAAATATTACTCTAAGACTGACTCCTACTTGCCACAGCTCACACAAAACAGCATTGCTGAGGCCTGGGAGTTGGTTCGCAGTTAGTGCATTGCCCAAGACAACCAAAAAAAGAGAAGGTACCTTCAAAACCAGGAATACACTCAAGTCTCTTTCAGGTTCTTCACTGTCAACCCAAATCCTCTCACCGCAGAGGATGGGACATTTTCTGTTTGGTCAGCGGGGTGCCTGACACATGCAGAAACCAGGGAATCCTAACCACGCTGAGAATTCCACGCATCCCACCTACACATGGAAATCCAGAGAGAGATTGTTCGAATGGATGCGCACACTCTCTCCCTGGAGGTCTGCATCCTGCTTACCTAATTCCGGAAATTATTAGGCGGTTGGCATAGAATCCGCCACCGGATAATAATAACCAATGGTTATTGTGAGTACTGCCACTTCTTTGGCAGGTTTCTCTTTGATAGATGAGATGCTCGGAGCTTTAGACCTTCAACACAGTATAGAAGGAAACCCTCCTTCCTTTGACAGAGAATACAACATCAATATCCTAACGCTGTTGTAAGAAATGTTACTTATCAGTATACATTAACACTGCATTTCCCTTGTGCGAAAACAGTATGGGTCTGTAATGCATAAATCGATACTGTTTCTAATGAGCAGCATTTATTTTGCTATCCTCAACATAATGGGTTTGTAAGAGAAGGAAACTGCTCGTGTTTGGTCCAGCTATAACACAGTTTCATTTCAATTCAGGGGTGGTGTCTGTATATATATATATATTGTGTGAGAGTCCAGTAGCTCAGTGGTTTGCAAGTGAGAGACCTGAGTTCAATTCCAGGCAGAGGGCGAAACCTCGGGCAAGTTTCCTTACTCCACACAGAGCCTAATAATAATCCTCCAAAACCAAAACAATAATAAATTGGTCATTTTCAATCTACGACTGTTTGTGGGACATTGCTGTGCGCAATTGGCTGCCGCGTTCGCCCACAAATATACAGTCAATTCACTTTACAGTGTGTTCTGTGAAGCGCTTTGGGACGTCCTCCCGACGTGAAAAGCGCTATATCAAATGCAAGGGTAATTATTATTACATATATATATATATATGTGGTCATGGATTTTTTTGTAATGTCCAAGTGCAAAACGTGCCGTGAAATCTAGCAATTAAAAATAAACAGTGAGATAAGGTGCAGTAGTCATCAAAGCAAATATATTGTAAAGAAATGCATACTTACTGTGTGGGCTTCTGCAATGTTAGTGCCTACACTGAACAACACAGCACTACAGAGAAAGGTCTCATTGCACACAGACTGCATCTGCTCCATCCACACCACGCAAACAGCCCATCCATCGCTACTTCAGCTGTTTAATCGACAGGTAATGTATTGTATCAGTTAAAAAAAAAAACAGCCTTCAAATAATGAAGCTCAAATACATCAACAAAACCACACACACACACACAGGTCCATTGTACAACTGGAGACACGTCTGATCTGCCTGAGATCCAAACGAGATGTAAAAAGCCTTTGACATTACAATGAGAAAGTTTGGGCACTGTGGTGGGTTTGGTTTCATTATATATACTTTCTGTGACAATGTCGATACGATCTCTCTCTCTCTCTCTCTCTGTTTCTATCTCTTCTGAATAAAAAAAAGATTCAAAAGTTTCCCTTTTGTTTTTCTCTTAAGTCGTGTCTGTGCTGTGCATCGTTTTGGTGTCTGTCTGTCTGTCAGATCACCTTCAGGGAACTGTGACGAGGGGAGAAAACACACACTCACACACACACAGTCACACACACTCACACACACACACAGTCACACACACACACTCACACACACACAGTCACACACACTCACACAGTCACACACACACAGTCACACACACACACTCACACAGTCACACACACATACAGTCACACACACACAGTCACACACACACAGTCACACACACTCACACACACATACAGTCACACACACACACTCACACACACACACACTCACACAGTCACACACACATACAGTCACACACACACACAGTCACACACACACACTCACACACACAGTCACACACACTCACACAGTCACACACACTCACACACACACACACACACTCACACACACATACAGTCACACACACACACTCACACATAGTCACACACACTCACACAGTCACACACTCACACACTCAGTCACACACATACACTCTCACACACACAGTCATACACACACATACACACTCACACACACACAGTCATACACACACACTCACACATAGTCACACACATACACACACACTCACACACATACACATACATACATACATACATACATACACAGTCACACACATACACAATCTCACACACACACATACTCTCACACACACACACACACACATACTCTCACACACTCTCTCACACACACTCGTGCTGACTATGTAACTAACACGACAGGTTCCTTCCACCTTTTTTCAGCTCTGAATCACCAACACTAACAGCTGTTTCTCTCCCACACAGTCCGTGTATTTATATGGCGAGTGTCCAGAACGGGAAGTTTTGCGACAATCGTCTGGACATTTAATAACAATAATAAAAATAATAATAAAACATGAATAATAATAATAATAATAATAAATTGGAACCTTCTCAGACTAAAGTGACTGTCCCACAGTGTGTGGGTGGGGGAGTACTGTAAGACTGCCCTGTGGGGGGGGGGGGTCTGATTTGGTTCACAGCAACTTACCTTCTTAACAGCAGAAGGCACCGGCGCTGAGTGTACTGAGAGCTCAACGTGTTGCACTGCACTGAGAGCTGATGGCACAGGGAGGTCGATGGCAGAGAATTTTCTTTTTGGTGGTGGGGAGAGTGTGTGGGGTGGGGGGGGGGGGGGAGTGTGTGTGTGTGTGTGGGAGGGGGGGGGGAGTGTGTGTGTGGGGGGGGGGAGTGTGTGTGGTGGTGTGGTGTGTGAGGGGGGAGTGTGTGTGTGTGAGGGGGAGTGTGTGTGTGTGTGAGGGAGAGTGTGTGTGTGTGTGAGGGGGAGTGTGTGTGTGTGTGGGAGGGGGGGAGTGTGTGTGTGGGGGGGGGGGGGGAGTGTGTGTGTGTGTGGGAGGGGGGGGGGAGTGTGTGTGTGTGGGAGGGGGAGAGTGTGTGTGTGTGTGTGGGAGGGGGAGAGTGTGTGTGTGTGGGGGGGGGAGTGTGTGTGTGTGTGAGGGGGAGTGTGTGTGTGTGTGAGGGGGGAGTGTGTGTGTGTGTGTGGGGGGGGGAGTGTATGTGTGTGTGTGTGGGAGGGGGGGGGAGTGTGTGTGTGTGTGAGGGGGAGTGTGTGTGTGTGTGTGGGGGGGGGGGAGTGTGTGTGTGTGTGTGTGGGAGGGAGTGTGTGTGTGTGTGTGGGGGAGGAAATCACTATCACAAAGATGGAGAGATAGAGAGAGTGAGTGAGAGAGAGAGAGAGAGAGAGAGAACGAACAACTGCAAAAGCAAAACCAGGCGAAGCAGCTGCGTCGCTAAAGTGCAGGTGTGAGGGCAGAGCTGCTGAGCGGCTGCCTCTGCTCTGCTGCTGCTGCTGCTGCTGCTGGTGGTGGTGGTGGCGGAGTGGGTGTTGGTGCAGGACCACTGCTCCGGGCGACCCGACCGCGCGGCTCCGCCATCACTTGGCGGTGTCTGACATTCACTTTAAACTCTCCCCTCCCGGATCAGATGCAGTGGTGGTGGTGGTGGTGGGGGGGGGGGGGGGAGACACACACAGTCACACACACAGTCACACACACCCACAGACAGACAGAGCCCGGGGGGGGTGGTGCTGCACAGCCCTGTGCGCTCTCCGGCACCAGCGCTCAGTCAGTCACCTGTCCATCACCGATCAGCTGAGAGGCGGCCGATGCCCCGCCCCCGAGCCCTCCTCCCATTGGGCCGCCTGGTTGGGCGGGGAACAGACAAGGCAACACTTGCCGACCCATTGTTCGGCGGCCGCCGCTGATTGGCCCGCGCGGCTGTCAACCACTGCCTGGGGCGGGGCCACGCGCGCCTGCGCAAGAGCCAGAGAGTGAGACCGTTGTCGGGGCCGAGGCCGCGGTGCGCGCCGGGAGTTGTAGTCGCTCAGGGCCGCTCTGCGCAGGGAGGGAGGGAGTGAGTCGGGCGGCGGCGGCGGACAGGAACTACATGTCCCAGAGCGCACAGCGCCCCCCCACTCCCCCCCCCCCCCCGCGGGGGGGAGCTGTCCCAGGTCCAGGTGCTGCTCCCACTTGGGTCAACTTTGTTGCCAGTCACCAGCTGTGCCCTCCACCACCACCACCACCACCACAACAACAACAAATAATAATAAAAATAATAATCAATAGCAAACCAATCAACAAATATGTTAGTCGTTTGGCCGGAGGGGCTTTATTAATCTCTCCTCTCCCTTATTTATTATTATTTATTATTTATTTATTCAGGGTTATTAATTCCCTCCCCCCCCCCCCCCCCCACCCCTTCCTCACCCCAACACAACAACAATAGTAATAATAATTTGGTCGCCCCTTGTTGCTGTGCGCGGCGTCTGCTCTGCGACGTGTTCCGTGAAGCGCTTTGAGCCACGTGACAAAGCGGGACGTCAAGCGAAAGGATTGCGATTGTCGTTACGTTTACCAGCCTTCGCGCTTTTGATAGATACGGCGCCCGGTGACGGCGTTGAGACGTCTGAAAGCGCTTCACAGAATGTGCGCTCAGGCCAAATGCAGCGCTCGAGGGTGGGCGGAGGGGATCGAAAATCATTGTGGGGGGACGTAAGAGATACAAACGAACCGGGCACTTTCTGTAATTGATTTGAATGTTCAGTCAACTAAACATCCAAACACAAAGTGCATAAATCTAACTGGAATCGAGTTTATTATGTAATGCAATGTCGTGTGGATATACGTACGGAGCATTATCGGTGGAAGAATCAATGGGATAATAAAGCAACATGTTTTCAGTAAGCATATGAAGTTTAACCTTTGGCATTGTGCTTTTTTACGGTTTAACAAAGGGGGAAATGTTTGCCCAGAAAACCGTTCAATTGCAAATGTCTATTTCAATAGATTAATAACCCAGTTTATAGAGAACCAACTTCCAAACATACCTTTGAATGGTGGCCTATCAGTGCTGACTGTCTGGATTGTCTATATGCTGTTTCAACAGTGATCTTTTGTTACCTGAAAATGATCACGACACACTTTAAAAATACTGAACAGGTAAAACACGGCTTGATTGAAAATAGGTCTCAAAGCAGAGAAGATGACTGGATCAATAATGATCCAATTGGCATCCCTCAAAACAATTTAATAGTAATGACACACTATCACTTGCTTTCAGGACAATTTTTTTCCATTCTGACCTACGAAGGATTGACTGCAGTGTAGAAACGTTACCATCTTAACTACTTTTCGCAGTGGACGATAAGAATTAAGAGGTAATAAAGTTATGTTTATTTTATGTTCGGAGTCCTGTAGTTCAGTGGTTAGAGCACTCGCTTTGCAAGCGAGAGACCTGAGTTCAATTCCAGGCAGAGGGCGAAACCTTGGGCAAGTTTCCTTACTCCTCACGCCTAATAATAATCCCTCCAAAACAAAAAACAATAATAAATTGGTCATTTTCAATCTACTACTGTTTGTGGGACATTGCTGTGCGCAATTGGCTGCCGCTTTCGCCCACAAATATACAGTCAATTCACTTTACAGTGAACTGTTCTGTGAAGCGCTTTGGGACGTCCTCCCGACGTGAAAAGCGCTATATCAAATGCAAGGATTATAGGATTATGTTGGAATAGACTTTCAAGAAGAGAGACTTGTTTCAGACTCTCAAATACAAAGGAATAGCTCTAATTGCTCAATTCCACTGATCCTATTTTGATCAGAAATAATTTGACTCAAATGTTTCTGCTCTGCTGCATTTCTGTTTGAATCAGTTTAAATCTTATTCACATAGCCTCGGGAATAACGTCCTATATCCCCTGTCGTCCCTTTCACTGGAAATATCCCCACTGCCTTTATAATAACTAATCCTGTTTTTTTCCAAATCTAGCTTAGTTCACATTCAATATGATGTTCTTTTCATATACTGACAGTATTATTCTGATTAGTGACATGAGTGGCATTAGTCATCAATCAATGCTTAATCATCAGCGTGTCTATTATCTACCTTTCCATCTCCTCCCTTTCTATTTCACCAGAATTCCTCAATTTCAGTGCACTCTTTATGATCTATTTATACCTCTCACTCTTCAGCCGCTGTCTCTCAGAGTGCAACTGCTCACTTCTGTCAGTAATGACCGGCTTATCCCCATTTAGCTTATTCTTTCTCCACTGATCTGCCTACTTTTTCTGCCAATTTTCATGTCTCTTTTTCTTCCCTTTGCTTGATTTCTGTTTTGTCTACATGCTGCAGGATGTTTCCCACAAGCTCATTGGTAGTCTCGAATTATTTTGATGTA